TAAAACTATTTTTTAGTTTTTAAAATTAGACTAGAGTTTTAAAATAGTTTTAAAAAATAAATAACAAAACGAAAAAATATCTAGATGGAAATAATATTTAAACGTTGGTTCTTGCATTTTCAATTCATTAGATTCTTACACTTGACCCATTTTTAAACAATTTCATAATTAAAATTATATATATAGATGAGACTGGAATGTGTTATAATTTATAACCAAATTATTAAATTATCATAGATAGTTAATGGACCCAACATTGTTATCATTTTTATTATATCGTACAAAATTTAAGAAAATATTAAAATAAAATAAAAATATTATTAATATATGCATAATGTTACTAACAATAAATTTTAACTTGTTTTAAAATCGCGAAATTTAAATATTTTTCAATGAATAAATTGATATTTTATGATTTTCTAGAAATATATATCATCATCAATATTTATTAAAATTGTGGCATCAACAATTTTGTCAGTATTGTTCAGCATTTACATCTAAAACTTTGTTAATCTAAACATCTAATATAAAAATAAAAATATTAGGCTTTTTTTTCTCTCTCTCTCCTTTTCGTTTTCAGAAAAATCCACTTAGTTTAAGTAAATTGCAGGTTTGGACCAATCACGAATTGACAAATCACAAACTTATTATTATTATAATTATGTTTCTCCTTTTAAAAGTAAACGTGCTTCAGATCTTGCCACGTATACATCTTACCTTTCACTTTTTTTTTTCTTTTTTTAATGAAGACTAGAATTTTTAAAGATGTGCGGTAACTTTATTTTATTAATTTTTTACTCTTACTCAGATTATGTTCTAGTTAACCTACAATATTAACTTATTACCCCTCTATCATGTAAATTTTAAAAAATATTATCAAATAAAAAAACTTTAAACATTTTGTTTAGCTAACCTTAATACTTTTTTCTTTTCAATTTAATCCAACTATAGAAAAAAAATAAAACTTTTAAAATCATATGAACTAAATTAAAATCAAATTCAAAAGAGATTATAATATTAATTTAACGAGATAAATAAATAAAAAGATTTAAAAGAATAAAATAAGATCCATTGCCCACGAGATGGAAGGTGGACTTAGAATATTTGCTTTTAAAAAGAATGTATTTATTTTTTTAATTTTTTTAAATAATCTATTGATGCTATATAGTTTAAGAGTTTACTTTGTCTTTACTTTATTTTTTCTAAAGGACCATTATACTTTATAATATTATATTCGTAGTGTGAGATTGATGTTAAATTTTTTTATTATTGTTGTTGTTATCGTGATTTATTAAACGTTGTGTGAAAAACAATGGCGATATTATTTTATATGCGTAAAAAATATAATAAATTAAGTGTGATTTTAAGGTTTAAAAACACTTTTTGACTGACAAAGCAAGCATAGCTCATCGGTATAATAATTCTAGTCAGGAGGTTGTGAAGTTTCATCTCCCACCCCACATGTTGTACTAAAAAATAAAAATAAAAACACTTTTGGCTAGGACACTTTTTCATTGAAGCAAGGATTTCATACTTGTAATAGTAGTTTAGTCCCTAAATTTTATTAGGTAACAATTTAGTCTGTGTAGCTTAAAATTTGTTACGATTTAGTCCCTATCATAAAAAATGTTGTTAGGAGCATTTAATAGAATTTATTATACATGCATATAGCTAAATTGATAAGGAAGCAAGTGTGTTTATAAATTGCAAATATTAAATAATTATAATCGACACTTAAATTTGACAATATGCTTTTTGCGTGACAGGGACTAAATTGTTTCATATTTTAAATTTCAGGGACTAAAGTTTTACATGTTAAAATTCGATGACTAAATTATTACCAATTTAGAAGAATAACAATCAAATCAAATTGTAGGAATTAAAGTTCATGAATTAAAATGTTACTTTAATGAAAATTCAGAGAAAAAAGGGCATTATTTAACCTAATTTTAACTATTATTAAATAATTTTAGATAGTAAATCTATAAATATTAGCTACAATTATATATATTATAATGTTTCAAGGCTGGCCACTAAACTTTTGCAATTGTTTTGATTTAGCATTTACAGCTTTAAATGTTTTAAAAATATTATTTCAAACTTTGCAAAAGAATTTGTTCTTGTCTTTATTTTTATATTATGTTTTGCATTAAATAGAAATATCATATGGTATCATATGATGCTATATTTTAAACCACACATATTGGATTTGATATCTAGTTGGGAAATAGATGAACTAAGATTTATAATATTAAATATAGCAAAGAGAATAAATAAAACAATAAAAAAATTAAAAATATGCAAAATTAAAAATTAAAATATTTAGAAGTATAAATAGTAAAATGAAATAAGCGTGAAAATTACTAAAAATATAAATTGAATTAAACTTTATCGGCTCATAAGGTAATAAAAGCATGAAAATGTTAGGCAATTTTGGCCGTGTGCTTAAAAGCAAATATTTTCGGTATTCATCCTTTCATGAAGTCGAAAAGAAAAGCAAATACTTCGTTTGTTTGGAATAAAATCCCGTGGGGGAGGGATTTGCTTAATGAAGGAATTCAAGAGAGAATGGGAGATCGAAGTAGTGTGTACTGGGATGCATAATTGGATTCCTTAGTGGGGTGAATAGGAACAAGCGAAATGAGAATCTGATAAGTAAATTATTTTACCCTACATATGCCAGGAATATTTCATCTATCCTCTAGCGAACAAAGGTTACAGATGTCCCAACATGGGATGAAATTAACCTGATATGAATTGGAAACCTCCATCAAACTTCATCGAAGATGTTAATTTCAATTATTCTTATTTTTGTTAGGGCTAAGCCTTAGGCCTTAATTTTTTTATTTGTAGGACCAAGTTTAGTCGTAATATTATTGAATTAGTTTAGTTGATTATTTTATTTATTTATACCAAAATACATTAGGATTAATATTTGTTGCCACTTAAGTTATTTTTATTGGTAGGCCTTAATCATTTTAGGTTGTGTGGGGACAGTTCAGTTTTAATGGAAATTTGAGTCTTTGAGCCGTTTCTTTGAAGCTAGCCAAAAACGTTGAATTTTGCAATCCTTGATCTAGGTTGCAATCCTGGATCTAGGTTGCAAACTTGAACATTCAAGAAGGGTTTGATCAGCCTCTCTTGTGAGTGTTCAACATCGAGTAAGAAACTAGTTCTCCTTGCCTCGGGGTCTTCGATCAACAGGGTAACCTACATCTAATCTTCCTTGGGATTGTGCTAAATTGATTTTGGGGGATTTTAGTGTTTGTGAATTAGGGGTTCATATACCCAAAGATTTCCTAAGTCCAATTCGCTAGGGTTTCCATACTAGAACCTATTATGTAAAGAGTGGTTATCATGTTTGTTTCTCTCAAAAAGATTAGACAGATCAATCGTATAGTGAAGAGATGAAGAAGTGGTAGTCTTTTTTCAAGCACCTCCAAATTCCTTCTAAAATTAAGATCTTCTAAAGTGGATTTTGGGAAGAAGGGGAATTGGAGGGGCTAAAAGGTGCGAATAGTATGGTCATTTTGGAGAAGATTCTATTTGTGCTTTGTGGTTGTGTAACTATCCTCCGGAAACAAATACCTTTTTTTTTTTATCACACTTTATGACAGGAAACGATTACTACCCTATGGTTCAAGGATAATCTGGAGGAACGAAATTTCAACTGCTTTCTAATTATGTTATGGACCATCTGAAACAAGCAATATATTTCTACCACTTTTAGAGTGTACAACCAAAGCTTTGAGGTTGATGTGATTGAAGCAACGACAATTAGAGATTATTTGGACATGACGATTGGAGCTGGTTTTGGTAGCATTTTGGTGGAAACAGACTCATGGCGGGTCTATACGATTCTTCGAGCTAAGAAGGAGGAGAGATCAGAGATGGGAACCATACATTCAAATAATGGTCGCTCTGAGAGAAATTAACCTCATGCAATGTCGGAGAGACGGAAATATAGCAGCTCACGCGGCTACAAAAATGTCGGTGGAGGCGGTCGTTGATGGTGTTTGGCTGCAAGAAGCACCACGAGATTTGGAGATGCTTTTCTCGCGTGATTCTAGGGCTCAAAACCCCATTTCAAGTTTGATTTTCTTTAATTCCTATTGTAGTTTTCACATTTCAAATAAAAAAATGGACATGCTAAACCGAATGTAATATATTCCGTTATTTTTTACCCCACAAAATTGCCTATTGAATAAGTATCTTAAAATTTGTAAATTTAAATAAAAGTATAACCATCGACATCATAATTCAATAAAGGTATATATTCATTTTCTTGATATCAGAATTACACATCCCTAACGCATATTAGTTGTACTAAAAAAAGTCTAATTCTAGCGACTTATTAATTACCTGGAAGTTCCATTAATTTCAGATAAAAGGTGCAGCAATACAGCTAATAATTTTATATGATGGAAGACAAGGTTAGAACATTACATTTTTAAGACATATTTTTAACTTAAGTTAGTTTTTTTTTAAGAGAAAACTGAGGACAATTACTTCTAAGTCAATTTTTTTAAAATAATCACCTCTCATGTTTCTTAAAAATATATATATTTTTAGAAAGATATCTTTTTTATTTAATTTATTACCAAACACCACAACAATTTTTCAAAAAGCATATGTAGTAATCTAAAATCATTAAATACACTAAAAATGAGTAATTCTTTTAAAAAAAAACTCTAAAGACAAATATTTTTATTTCAAAATCAACCACATCCAGTATAAGTATCTTAATAAGTGACTGTGTGATAATATATAACTATAATTTCGATAGAACAATTTTTTTTGAAAATGAAAGTATCATAGTAGTTCGAGATAATTTAGATACAACTCGACCATAAAAATATATATCTTATTTAAAATTGAATCCATAAATCTTTATCCTTCAATATTTGTAATATTAAAATCAATTTTATTCGAACTCATGTTCTTCCTTATCCATATGGACAGTTACAATTACGATTGAGTTAAAATGGTGCTGCAAAAAGCAAGGCAGGACTCGTCGTTTCGTGGCACATTTTTCTGATCCGTTCATCGAATCACAATCTCTCTCTCTCTCTTTCTATACGATGCCTTCAAAATCCAGTCCCCCAATTATATAAATATTCCCCAAATCGCCATTTTCGCCACTCTCTCTGCAGCAATCAAAAACCAGGAGGCCCCGTAGCCCACAGAGAGTTCTCTTGGTCCTTTGCCTTCTCTTTCCTGCTCGCTCGCGTCTTCCCCTCTCGAGGAAAGTTTCCATTTCCAGAAATTAACGCCTGGTGATCTCCCTCTGCTCTGCTTTCGTTCTTCTTGCTCTGTAATCCATGTCTATCTATCTCTCTGCTTGCTCTGATTTTTGCTTGATCATTGCTTAAATGCATTTTCTCCTTCTCGAAGCTTCTGGGTTCTTGAGTTTTGAGGTTTTTTTGTTGAAATTTTTTCCTGATTGGCGATATGGTATGTATTCTCTCTCTCTGTACATTTTTGTATGCACATGGTACTTCTTCTTGTCTACAAGCCACTTAGCTTAAACCCACTTGATTCTGCTCCAAAGCGAGTGTTACGTTGAGTTTAATATTGCGATCATGTTTAAACTATGCCATTATTTTCAATTTCTTGGTCTCCAAACGAAAACGTCTGGCCGTATAATGATTTTTTAAAAAAAAAGTATCCAAAATTTTGGGATTACGATATTTTGTCCCTTTTATTTTTACAATCGTAGAGCCGTATCGTTTCAGAAATTGTTGGTTAATATTATTCTATTTCTGTATTTAGCGCCGGAAATATACTTTACACATTAAATATGGTTTTTCAAAGATTGGGCCCAAGAGACTGATAAGTGGTGAAGGCAGGGTGTCGTATTCCATATCCAGTGTCCTAATTTGTTGGGTTCAATTTACTTGACATATGTGGTTCTTTCGAACGAAAATTCGGACGGAAACTCGTATGGGGAATTATGGAGAATGAAGATTTCATATAATATTGTTCATAAATAGGGGATTAATGTTGTTGGTTGACTTGAACCCATGATCTGGAAGTTATTATTATTTTTCCATTCGGAGAAGATTCACCAAAGTTTCCTTTTACAACAATGGGTTATTTAGATAAAATGTTAAAGCCTTTAACTTTCATTTGGGTTTGGGTTTATGATTAGCTGGTATATTTTCTCAACCTCTGGGTCTACGTTTTGATCAATCTTTCTCTTCACTCTGACTTTATTGTAACTTGGTTGTGCCAAATTAATGATTTCTTAGAATTGTTGGCTTTATGATGAAGATCAATGCTCGTATCATTGTATGTACTACTAACTTCTTACTCTTTATTTAGCTAGTTGGTTCTTTTAGAAGCCATAGCTATATGTAAATGCTAGAACCGGATGCAGTGTGTGTGAAATTATTCACAACATTTTTGCATTTAGTACCCTTCTCATGGATCAATTTGAATCTCTAGAGACTGGAGCTCGAGAAGAAAAGGATCATTTATGGAGGTCGACGCAGGAAGAGGTTTGGGATGCCAGAAGACTATGGATGGGAAGGCGAGTAACGGGTTTGTTTCAGATAAGGGGATCCCTTCTTGTTGCTTAAAGGCTAGGGCTTCAGCCCCTGAGCTCGAGGCAAAGTGCCATTCTACTGTTGTCTCTGGGTGGTTCTCAGAACCTCAGTCCGTTTCTGGTCATTATCTATGTTTGTTTCCTTCTTAATTTAATTTTGGTTCTATGTTTCACGTGCTCTACTGAACTACTTGATCCTTTATTGATTTTTTAAATTTTTTTTTTTAATTTCTATATCCTCTAAATTCAGATAAGGGAAGCAAAATGGTCTACTTCAACAATCCCATGTGGCCCGGTATCCTTCTCTAATTTATCCTTTATCTTTTAATATCTTATGTTATTGCCTAACTGATGAATACCATTATCTCTATTAGATAGAAGACTAAAAGCATTGTGGGGGAGGGTGGTCGGGGGAATTGCTACAGTATTGCATATATTTGGTATTAGTAGCAATATAATGATAAGTAGTCAGTGTTGCGATAGCCTGGAAGAAATAACATTGACATTCTTGCATTCCCCTAGGGAAATATAAACTGTTGATACTTTTCTTCATGATGGTTCGTATTTATAAATTAGAGTTAAATCATATTTTAGTAACTTCATGCCCATTCAATTTTTGTACATAAACTTTCGAACAGTCTGTTTTGATCTTGAACTTTGCCTAAAAACTTGTCGTAGTCGTTAATTTTTCATTAAATCTCTAATAAAATACCAATGTGACATGTCCTTTATTCATTTACATGATAAGAAGATGTATATAATAAACAAGTATTTGAAGGCTGAAGCCACATTCTGTGTGTGAAGTTTTGGGTTACAAAATGAGTCAAATTTCTATCAAATGATCAGTATAAAATTAATGGTAAGGATTGAAATAGATTTTTGTGTCCACTAAAATATAATATTTTAATGTTTAGGGACTAAAGCAAAATAAATATGAAAGTTTAGGGGTCAAAATAGAATTTAAACTAATAAATTATCAATTAATATTATGTTAGTGGTTGCTAGAATATTCTAATTGAAAGTTAATCTAAGTTTTGCATTCTTACCTTAGTGTATGACAATATGGTGTTTTTATTTATATTTGCTTTTAGGGGAAGCACATTCCCTCCAAGTAGAGTCTATATTATTTAAGAGACAGTCGGAGTACCAAGAAGTGGTCGTTTTCAAGGTATACTTTCTTTTGCTTATCGATATTTTTTTTTGCCTTAAATGCATAAGATTCTATGATTTCCCAAAGGAAATATTACAGTAGAGCTAACTAATGCCGTGGTTTTTCATCTACAGTCTTCTACATATGGAAAAGTGCTTGTTTTAGATGGTATTGTCCAGTTAACCGAGAAAGATGAGTGTGCCTACCAGGAGATGATAGCTCATCTGCCCCTCTGTTCAATTCCATCTCCCAAAACGGTGATTTCACATATTCAAACAATAGTGCTTTCACCAGTTTTAATTCTTCCATTTTCTCATGAACAAATGTCAGGAATAGGATAATGGTATATTTGTTGTTGAGAGTTTTGATTTCATAAATAAATCATGCCCCCATTGACAATTATTCGAACCAATCTTCTAATTATTAGGTTAAAGGAAAAAGTGGGTACTAGTTTTGGTGCATAAATCATTATCAGGTTATAGCTGCACTGAACATTTTAAAACGAGCTGCTAGAAAGGTGGTTTGATAACTAGAAGTTAGCTAACATTTGCCATCTGATTTGTTCCAATTATATTCCATAAATAGCAAATTGCGAAATGGTAATTACAGTTGAATTTGGGATTTGCTATTCAGTCTGAACTGTTTTGATTATTTTTGTTCTCTGTGTTGATTGTTATCAAGGGTTACATAGTTGACTCGATAAGCACAGTGTTGGCTTTTTCTTTCTTTTGAAATTTTATATTACGTATTTGTGTTTAGCAGTATGGATTTTTTCTGCAGTTGCAGATTAAGTTATGTTAAATGAAATAAAAGATTGCAGAATAACCAATCTTTAGAAAACTAAAGTGGCGAAAGAGACTCTTCAATGATGATGTATACAGCATCCCTTGTTTTTTTTAAGTATGTCATCTGTGACGGTCTGTTCCTTTTGATTTAAGCATTTTCTGTTGTGAATTTTTCATTTCTTATTGAATGGAAAGTGAAAAGGAAAATATAAACTGATGTTTAAATGTTGCAGGTTCTTGTTGTTGGTGGTGGTGATGGTGGAGTTCTAAGAGAAATCGCTCGCCACAACTCTGTAGAGCATATAGATATATGTGAGATAGATAAGATGGTCATTGATGTATGATATGTTATCATCGGCTTGTGATAATTTATTACCATGTATTCTCTCTAGTTAACGACCTCGTTGCCCTGGTTTCTTCACCTATAGGTGTCTAAGGAGTTTTTTCCTGAGTTAGCTATAGGATTTGAAGATCCCCGTGTCCACCTTCACGTTGGTGATGGTATGTCCAAATATTGTTTATCCTTTGTCTTATTTTATTTTTTCAATTTTCCAATATTAACTAATTTGACACACTTGGAGGTTAATATGCTATATGCTCATTGTTATCTCTTATTGCTGTGATCCTTACAGCTGTCGAATTCCTACGGCATGCACCAGAAGGGAAATACGACGCAATCATTGTTGATTCCTCGGACCCTGTTGGTACGTTTGTACTTCATTTGACATGGCATTTGTATCACTCATTTGTAACAAGTACATGCCGTTGTATGCTCACAAATATTGGAGGTTTTTGGGTGCATTGGAGTATTGGATGTGGGCTTGGTAGAGGGCTACAGTATACCTTATTCTTTAATTTCCCATTACTTTATAGCTCAAAAAGAGGGTTTTTTTGGAAAAAAAATTAGCTCACTGCTCTATAAATTTAAGTGTTCTAATATTTTAGTTTATGCCAGTCCACTTGTCACAAGGCTCCTTTTACTGCTATTTCAGGTCCCGCGCAGGAGCTAGTTGAGAAGCCATTTTTTAATACGATAGCTAAAGCATTGAGACCTGGTGGTGTCCTTTGTAATATGGCAGAAAGTATGTGGCTACATACACATCTTATTCAAGACATGATCTCTATTTGCCATGAAACTTTCAAAGGATCTGTTCATTATGCATGGGCGAGCGTTCCGACTTATCCAAGGTCACGATTTGATGAACACTCGATTTAACTCTCTGCTTTATGCTTTTACTGCTTTTCAATTTCTTCTTTTTTATTATAAAATCCGCCTGTGGCATAATCTTAATTTTGAGTGTATTAAGTTGAAATGTACGTGAAACTAAACCTTTATGTCCAATTTAAAAATGATTCATTTCGATATTACTGAAGATAACTAAATTTTCAAACAGTTATTGCTCTTTATCAATTCTGGGTTTTTGTATTCTTCAGTGGTGTCATAGGTTTTGTGCTGTGCTCAACTGAAGGGCCACCTGTTGATTTTAAGAATCCTATCAATCCCATTGAAAAGTTGGAAGGTGCAGTCAAGCATAAAAGAGAACTTAAGTTTTACAACTCAGAGGTACATTTACGTTCTGATCAACTGCTTGCAGTCACTTGTAGCATAGAACATGTGTCTAAATTCAAGCACTTGAAATCAAACTCATATCTGAAATGTACTTTGTAAAGATAGGCCAGTATTTTAGGTGGAAAATATCTCTTCAAAGAGAAAAGCACATGCAGTTCAACTGATATGAACTGTTGTTAGAAATGAGCAGCAGACAATACCATACTTTTAAATTCCTACATCCCTTTATTTCCAATTTGTTAGTGAGCAACAAAAACGTTTTTATTCAACAGATGCACTCGGCTGCTTTTGCCCTGCCATCATTTCTGAAGAGGGAGGTGAAGGCGCTTGGTGATTCTCCGAACCCTGCGCAAAAATGAGTATGTTATAGGAGGCAACATCGAGTCATTTTCTGTTCAGTTTTTACTAGTAATGAAAACGATCCTACATGGCAGAGTGTATTCTTGGTATTTACGGTACTCGGGGATTAGAAGAAGCCCCAAAACTCTACTTTTGTGGCATTATTATAACTTATCATAGTAGTAATTATCTTCTTTGAGGATAAAACTTGTGTATGACAACTTATTGCTGAGTTGATTGGTGATATGAGGTAATGCATTTAAAATATAAATGTCTCTCTCTGTTCTGCTTCTGCATCATTTTGTGTTATTCTTTGGTGAATGGAGGATATTGTGGGACTTTTTCCAACAGATCGATTCAAAGGATAACATGATTTTATGTTTGCTTCTCTGCATTATTATGCATGTCAGGATGATGTTTTGCTTTGGCAGGCTGCTGAACTTGATAACTTTTACCATAGGAACTCATGATTGATGAGTGGTATGTTTGATGGTATGATTTAATAGATGATTTCGTTGAAATCCATGGTATATAATTTTTCTCTTTTACAATTGAGAGCCAACAATTATTGAAAATTGAGTAGTTTGTTTTAGAGTAAAATATACTTTTGGTCTCTAAAGCTTAGACTTAGTTTCAAATTGGTCCCAAAGTATTCAAAACCATCATTTTTATTTTTGAGATTTGAGTTGAATTTCTATTTGATCCTAACATGATTGGTCACTGAAACTGTGACCTGATGTGGCTGTTGATATGTTGATGTGTATTTTTTAAACGAGTTAGACAAATTTTAGTATTCTTTATTCGTTTGAAACTTATCCATTTCTGTAAATTTACTTGCACCAGTCCCTTCCTCTTGCCCTTTTCAGAAAGAGGATCAATCAATTTTTAACCGTGTATTAATAGTCTAAAAAACAAAATTTCTACTATTAAAGCATTCCTATGAATTATGCAAAAATGAAAGATGGGATAATTCTAAAGTAGGGAAAAAGAAATTCCTAGTCCTATATCCAATTCTTTTGGAGAACTGAACTTCATCTATTACATTACCAGAGAGAGTTTGCAGATCAAGAACAGAAGTTGCAGGACATTTACAGGGAATGGAAGTCATACAATTGACTAAAATCTTACTGAAACCCAAAAAACCTACTAATGTGATCTTCTAAAAGAGGGGGAGAGAAAAAAAAGACCATCATACAAAGAAAAACATCGACCTACACGGCACTGACCATTTTACAGTTACAATTATAAATATTCACAAATCTTGTTCGACGAACTCGTAGCGAACTCAACAGCATGAGATCAGCAGCCAGGCATCTATCAGTGATCCCAGATAAACTTGTAGTTCAGGCAAAATGACCATTTGCTTGGGATTCTGCCTAATTGTGACCTCAGGTGGCTATCAAGCTATTAATGATACAGTGGCAGAAACATTCTCACATTCTGAATGCCAACTAGTAGTGATGAATAGAATAGACATCAATTATGTATGCAAGAAATACCTTTGTTCTATCAACTATTCTCCTCAGAGGTGAAATCAGGCTCTGCTGGTTTCTGCAGCAACAATGGCGGTATTCTCTCCGGTATCCTGGCCTTCCGAGAACTTGTACGTCGAATTGTTCGAAGGATGTTCGCTGCAAATCTGGATGCATAGATGGTGGCACCTAAACTAGGAGAACTCCCACCTGTCTTGGCCAATGCATCTTTCAACCTGTTCTCTTCTTCCAAGAGAGACTGTTCGAGCTTCTTTCTGCTGTATCGACGCCATGCTGCTTGTATAAAGCACGCTGCCCATGTTCTCCATTGCTGCGAATAAAACCTGAAAGTGTGCCGCAGCTGCTTGCTGTGAAGCCGTCGGAACTGTGAGGCTACAAACTTTAAGTTGTCGGCCTTTAAAGCAAATGCTTCAACTTCAGAAATGGTTAGAACAGTTCTCGTCGAAAGTGGCAGATTGGACGAGGAATGTGGATCCAGAGCCCATGTCAGTAACTCTTCACCACAGAAATCGCCCGCCTTGAGATGTTCAGAATTAAAGAAACCAGTTCTTCCACCGTTTGTAGTCACAGAGGACAACTTGCCTCGCATAATGAAGATCATCTCATCTACTGGGTCTCCTTCTCTAACAATGTAACTTTCTTCCGTGTATAGTACCGGCTTAAGACGGTCACACATTGCATCCAACAATTGTTCATCCATTTTTTCAAATATGGGTACCTTAAACATTGAAAAGGGAGAAACAAATCGAGTAAAGCATGGAAACATTTACGTTTGATGATGGTGACCATGAACGTAGAGAAGAGAGATATTACTCACCCTCATTAGCAGAGACAAGCAGAGATGGCGTTTTATGTCCCTTCTGAGATCTTTGGGAAGATTTCGAACCAGATTCTCTTCATCAACACCTCTTGTTTCCTGCCATTTGTACTGTTCGTACCTCCTGATTCGCTCTCGGAGGCTCTCGGGGAGTAAACGATGGGACATCCACTGTTCTGCATCCCTCCTTCTAACCCTCATTTCTTCCAATCTTGTGGTGGTTGATTGCAGATATGTCTGTTTGAAGCAGGTAAAGAATGAGGAATGTGAAAACTTTGTAGCTTTCTTAGTATGTTTTAGATGGCTTTTGAAAACAACGCTTTTAAATAAAAACACTTCTTCTGTAACCACTTTTGGAAGAATTACTAATTTAGAGTGTCTAGTATAGGTTCCCAAGCGAAAGAATTCTAATGTATTTAAAAAATGCTGTACTGATCTTGCATTAAAAAAGAGTTTGCATATGATCAATCTCACTAGGTGTTAACATGAAGGTTCAAATTTTGAATTTGTAAAAAGTACATATTCCCTATGAGAAATGAAAATAGTACAAGTGATATGGACAAAGATTCAAACCTGCATGTTCCCTATGAGAAATGAAAACAGTACTAAGCCAGAGATGGAGATGAAAACAGCAAAGCAAATTTCCCATACGTATGTGCTTGTCTGGAGATTTTGACCCAGGGAACTGCATCACAATAAGTACAGATATAAAAGCTTAAAATGCTTGTCAAATGAAATATGCTTCTGATCAGATGAATGTCCACAGTATACAACAAAATACACCAAGAAAAGAGAGAGAGAGAAAGAGAGAGAGAGAGAGAGAGAGAGGATCCATGCAAGTATGAAAAGCTCGGAGGAAGCAGTAGAAGCCAGTTGATGTGGCTAGTATGAGGCATTGATTTTCGTGTTTACTTTCATTCAAAATGGGGTCAGGTGAGAGTATGAGATTCTAGGAATAGAATAGCAAGCATCCATCCAAGTCTAATGTTTGAGCCTCTGGAAGTTGGAATTTGCATTCCAGAAAGTGTTTCAATGGTAGAAAATTTTCGAATGAGCAGGTTTTTTAGTCTTGATTTATAGCTAAAGATCAGATCCTTCAAAGTCATATTATAATGGCGTGTTCATGCAAGGACTTGGAAGAAATCACTCTTTTTGCGCATTGCAGGAATTTCAACAGGATTCTCCTTTCAAAGTGGATGACCTCTACAACAATTTCAAGTTTTTGTCAAAGGATCATTAGATCAAGATATCAGTTCCAACTTAGTGTGTTTGGAGATATGGGGAAAAAAGGTGATGGGAGAGTTTTTGGATTACACATAGGAAGTATTGATACAATAATAATCAAGTATTGGAATTTGGTTGAGTTAATATATACTCATATTTCTGTTTTGTCTGTGATTATTCCTTTCTTCATTCCCCATCACTCTATTTTCTTTCTCCTCACATGTCTGACATCACAAGATGACATATATACTAAAGACAAATTTATAAATGAATGAAGGCTGAGCAGCGCAAATACCTTAGATTTCTCAGACCCCACCAGAAACAGTAAAAGAACTTCTGTGGAAAATCCATGGACTCCACAACACCAGAATTGAGAGCATCAAGAAATATTCCAAAATCAAAAACTGTTTTGTCTTCATCTAGTATAGGACACGAGCTATTCAAAAATGAGTTATTTCCTGGTTTGACATCACAATACAGTGAAGTAGGAACACAACCAGTGTGATTATGACAAGCCCTCTGCCAGCATGTAGTTTCCCGTTCTATAGAAAACAAGTACCAGAATGCTCCAAAGACCTGAGAACACGAACAACCTTAAGTTCAGAGAGCTCTGTGATGACGTAACAGCCCATAATAGTTACAATGTTTAACTGGGAGTTGGAGCTTTGCTCCCCTAGACCCAGAGGCACCCGCGTCCGCCCCAAGGCTCGGACTAGGGAGACATCAAGGGTTTTTGGTATTAAGCTCACTAGAAGATTGGAACTTGAGACCTTTAAGCTAGAGAGTTTAAATACTATTTTATCCCTGTACTTTCAACTATAGTTCGTTTTGGTTTCTATGCTTTCAAAATATATCTTTTTTTTTCTTTTTGGAACAAGAAACAAACTTTTCATTGATTAAAGAAAAGGAACAGAAAATTGATCAAAGACTCCCGAAGGAGTGAAAGAAAAAGCGAAACGAAATAACAGAATTTTAGTCCCTGCACTTTCAACTTTTATCCATTTTAGTCCTTGTACTTTGAAAATGCCTACTTTGGTCCTTGTATTTTTTAAAAGTGAAATTATAACACAAAATCTAAACACAATGAAAATCCTTTAATATATAGTTATAGATACATTTCAAGAAATTTATTGAATGTGTTTCCATGCTGAAATTGCGATTGAAAAAATTAAGATAAGAAAGAAAATGAAAAGAGACCAAACGGTCACTTTTTAAAAGTACAAGGACTAAATCAAAGACTTCGAAAATATAGGAACTAAAATGAGAAAAACCTGAAAGTAAACAGATTAAATGGACGTTTGAAAGTACAAGGAACCCATAGATGATTAATCAATTGATACTTGTACTATGCCTTATATAGAAGGATGCTAATTTCTAACCCGTATACGATTAATAAAAGTCAATAAATTAAAATAAAGAAAGACATTTTTCTCCCTCACATGTACTTTATGGCATATTTAAACAAAAAAGATCACAAAGCAGAACTCACATGACTTGCCAGCATGTAGAGAAAGAGGTTAAATGCAGCTCCAGCCCATGCAGTTTCAGTGAGTACAGAAGTTCTTGTAACTTCCTTATATAAAGGATAGATTCTAAGAAACCGAGGCACATATTGGAAAAAAACAACAAATTTCAGCAAGTCCTTGGTATTCAACGATCTCGGGCCTCCCATTTTTGGAATAATGATCAGAATCACTATCTGGCATAACTCAGTTAGTTAATTTCAAAAATTAGTATTAAATCCAATTGCATAAAAATTGATCTAGAACAAGTTACTTATATAAGTTGGGAATGGGAATGTACAAGTCCATAAACAGTGAAATAATGTAAAAGGAAACTCTTGATTGCAAGATTATGTTAAAGTATCAGAAAGGAAATAGTGAGAATATTATTAGAAACATTAGTGGAGACATATTTGTAATTACTTGGAAGTTGAATTGTGTTGACGATTATAAATAGAGGGAGTTAGAGAGAGAGAGTTCAGTGTAGGAAGTTTCTGAAAATAGTTTGTGGGAGAATCCAGGACTCTCGAAGTGCTTGAGATATATTGTAATTTTCCTTCTTAATACCAATATTTTTTTCGGTTAATTTTCATTTTGGTTTCTGGTTCCTATCAGAATACTAGTAGAAATTTAAGATAACAAACAATCAAATGTTGCAACAAAATTCAAAAGGCAATGCTCGTGACAAACAAAAGTTAATGACCATTGAGAAAAAAATGACATACTTGTGGAAGTGGGAGGACTGCAAGAATGTCAATCAGAAAGTACGATGACAGATATCTCTTTGCTATTGCCCAAGCATCTTCAACTAAAACACCTCTTCCAAATACTCGAGAAGAAGGAGCAATAAATCCCGTACGAAATTGGAAAACAATATGTAAAATATAAAATATGTCTGTGAAAGAACGCAGCACACTAGCTGTAATCTCCATCTTCGTGTCCAGCCCCAGACATTTCTTCTCATCATCAATCACAGGGACATAAAAGAACAAAGGATCCAACGAGACTGCAATTATACAAGACAGCACAAATATCTTATTCCACTTTTGGAGAAAAGACCCCTGTGGGTCAAGTACTTTTTTTCCGGTTCCAAAACCTCTGGACATAAATTTATTGAAAGAAGATGATTTCAAGGATTTCTTAATTCTATTAGTCCTGTAAGAACCAGTATCCAAGCCTTTGTGAGGTTTTTCTGAAACTAAGTCGGCCCTTGTCCCATTCTTTCCAGAATTTAAAGTGTTATCTGTAGAATATAAACCCCTTGAAGTTTTATCTGAATTCCAGTCCTGAAACCTGAAGGAAAAAGCATAAAATTTATGAGTAAATATGAATGTAATCAATCTATAGAGAATCTATCTACGACACTTAAAAGTTCATTCAACCGAAGCAGTATTCGACAGAACCTATGATTTGTAACAAAACGATTCTGGTCACCATCACCACTCTGTAACCCGACGTAATAACTAACCTCACAATTTTCTCTTGCAGATAAGTCATGATTACTATCTGAATTGCAATGTCAGATGGAAAAATCAACTTTGGAAACTCATACAGTCCAAGTACTTCCTTAAGTGACACACGTTACTTGTAGGAACTCCTGAAAAGGGGGAAGAACCGTTAGAGAACTTCAAGTAAGAGAGCCACTGTACAGTAAAATTCAAGACAACCTTCCAAAAATTCCAGAGAAGGGATGTGACCATAGATTCAAAAGGACAACAACCGAAATCTAAATTGCTCAATTGCCATCAAACCATCAAGAAACTTTAACATCCCAAATAATCAAATGGGGTTTTCACAAAATCAAACAAGATATTCATTTGTCGGAATGTCCAAATATCTGCACAACCCCAAAAGTCCAATTCTTAAAAAGTAAAAACACAATTGAAACAAAGACAATTCGATACCCAATTTCTTCTCGCTTATCAAAGCAAGTTCAGACACAGATGAACAAACAAGACAACTGAAATAGAGAGTAAATTCAGTACAACCAAGGGAAAATAACACCCAAAGTGAAGCAAAGAAACCCAAAACAGGAACCGTAAAATGAGAAGTAACTGAAAAAGAGGATTGGGTTTGGGAAGAAGGAGAAGAAATTTACCGAAATGGGAAGAGGGGCAAGGAAGAAAATCGGAGAAGGAGCGATGATTGGTGGGTATTAAATCAAACAAAGCAAACAAAAAAAAAGTTTTTTGGAAGAGAGAAAATTGATTGAATCCAGCAAGAGAAATGCGACTTCTTCCACTTTATACTACGAAACTTCCCAGAGACTTCATCTTGGATTTTCAATATCCGTTCATATTTACGAATAATTCACAAAAATAAAAATAAAATAAATATTTTTTTTTATTTCTTTTGTTTTTTTTCCGATGAGAGATGAGTTCCATTGGTGCTGTTGGTGTCTGACGCTGACCGCGACGAAGACAAAGACTTATAAAATCCAATATTTTAATAATAATAATAATAATATTAATAAAGTTCAAAAGTAAAATGATTTTCAAAATAATTTTATAACGATATTTAATGTTTAGAAGTTTTTTTCTTTTAATTTATGGCAAATTGACTTAATTAATATATTTAATTTTTTCCCATAATATTTTAAAAATTTTCAATATAGTCATTCGTTAAAAAACAGTTAGAATTTATATACGAGAAAAACACTTCGTGTCATTAATTGATGTTTATTTGTTTGGAATTTTTGGTGATTTGAAATATTGACAGATTTCAAATTTGTTGCGTTTTTTATGATCACATGAATTATCAGTTTAACAAAAATTTTGGTTTAATTTTGTCATATTTTAACAATCTAGTAATTAATTAAGATTAAAAAGCATATATTAAACAATTTTTGTTTCTTTTTGAAAAAACATCCCAACAAAAAAATGTAATTACTTTAATTTGAAACAAGATAAAATTATTTAAAATTATTTCTTAAAGTTCAAATCACATAATTTAAAATCATTTGTTAAAATTTTCAACCTTTTTAAAAATTTACGAACATAACACACAAAAAATTAATAGTTTAGAGTTTTATTAGACACAAAAATCATATTTATATCATATAGATTCAACTTATTAAACACTTTTAAAGTTTACGACAAAGTTTAAAGACCTATTACACACATTTAATATAGATTTATTGGACACGAATTTAGAAGTTCAGATACTTGATTTATAATTGAACCTAGCTTTTAACATGTTAAAAGTAATTTTTACCCTTCAAAAGTTCATTGCAAATTTACCATGGTAAGGTTTAAATCATACGGTTGAGTATATGCTATATGTTTTCGTACTCATTTCGTTTTATCTCTAATCAGATGTCCTACTTCTTAGTAACAAGTTTTCATTAATCAAGAACTCAAATTCAAATGAAAATTAATAGTATAGGAGAATTCAAATATTTGTCCATATAAATATTTATTTATCGAATAAATAAAAGAAAATATCTAACTATGTCAAAGTTTCTATTTATTAATTTATTAAAAAAACATGGCTAATAATTATTTATCGAAATAATAAATAGAAAATATCTACCTATGTCAAAGTTTCTATTTATTAATTTATTAAAAAATACGGCTAATAACTAAAATATTTGCTAGGAAAGGTTCAATAAAAGCATACAAACTAAAATAAAGTAAAAATAGGAAATAACCATGTTTATACCGGCACTTCATCTTCGAATAAAAAATCGTGAGTTTGAATCCTCACCTCATATCGTACTAATATATATATGTGTGGCTTAATAATTCACTGCAATATAAAACAACTGTTATAATTTTTACCAACATAATTATAATGCTATATTTATTTTTAAAAATAAATTTTTAAATATTAAAAACATCAAATTGGGATGAGAGAAACCAAAATAAAAATTTTGAAATGTGAGAACATAATTAAATACAAAGATAAAAATGAGAGATCATAACTATATATTTAATTTTCTTAATAAGAGAGTAATTTTTTTAGGGTAAAATATATTTTTGGTCACTGAGTTTAAGGATAGGTTTCAATTTAGTTTTAAGTTTTAAAGAGTGACAGTTTGATCTCGACCTTTAGAAAATAATTCTAAAAGGTCCCTCGAGTAAACTAATTAACAGAATGCTGATGTGGCAATGATGAGTTTGATATTTTATAATATTTATATTATTTTTAATTATATGGATTTTTTAATCATTTTCCTCCTCATTTTCTTTCTCTCTCTTCCCCCATCTTCTATTGTTTTCCCTCCCCAATCTTACAAAATATCTTTCCATGAAAACTAACTTCAGAGATGTGTAATGCTTGAAAACGAACTTCCTTTATTTTTCTTCACTCTCTATACCTCCTCTAAGCGTTCAATAATCAAACTATATTCGAAAACTTCTCTTCCATTCAACTTACTCATCACTTTTTTATGACTCGTGAAGGGATGGGTTATCTTGAAAAGGATTTTAGGGTAGATGACGACAAATTAGCCGGGAATCATTTTGTCATTTTCTAAGTTATTATATACAAGTGAATTAATATGAAATGAAACCAACTTAAAATTTACAAATAGACGTCATGGAATGATATTTTTGTAGAGAGAAGGAAAGATAGGGGGAGGGGAAACAGTTGGGGGGAAGGAGGGGAAGAGAGAGAAAGAGGGGAGAAATTACTGCATAAAAAAATTCCATATAAATAAAATAATATAAAATTTATAAAATATCTAATTCACGTTATCATGTTTAATTTCAGGATCTTTTAGAACTATTTTTAACGGTCGAAATTAAATTGTCAATTTTTAAAATTTAAAGATTAAATTGAAACCTATATTCAAATTCAGTAACCAAAAGTATAATTTGTCTTGTTTTTTAGCTGAAAAAGGGTGAAATTCGAATTTCCTATAAGAAGTGTCTTAATGTCGGCTATAAAAATAATGGCTTGAAAAATGTGGATTTTTCTTAAATTATAATTTTTAATAAGTTGGATTTGTAATTAATGAGATGGAAATAGTGGAAAGGATACCGATGTGGAAAAGTGGATGCCACGTGTGAAACAAGGATTGGTTGAGGGAGAAAATTTAGGGAATTTGGAAAACCCGTGAGCATGGTTTCAAAGTCAAAGGGTGTTTAGGTCATTTCACTATCTCCCTTTCATGACTTTTGTCCCTTTTTTCATTTTTCAGTATTATTTTTAAAAATGATGGTAAAATTAAAACTAAATATCATATTTTTTGCAAATCTCTGCAAATATAGTGCTCGAGGTAATTTTTTGGACGCCATGGGTCTGCGAATCATAGATAGGAAAGTATTGAGTCATCGTAATAATACAAGACCAAATCTTTAAAGAAATAATAAACAACTCAAAATTTTGTAAAAGTCGAGTCGATCGATCAATGAAGATCTCAATAGCTTACCCTCGWAAGGGACGAGTTAAGGATCACAACATTGCCTGGTACAAACAGGCAACCATGTCATCGACAACGTATCATGATTTACATGAAGGTTATAATCGCTCCCCAAACAATGTCGAAAACCAAAAGCTTATAAATAGAGACTCCAGTTTACTTTTGAGGTACGTAAAACTATTATCTCTTTGGGTATAGATCGAACTTGACCTAACTTGAGTGTTGGAGCACTATTTTCTCTTTTTATGCAGATTTTATGCGTTCGCTAGTCTTCAGATTTCGAGCTTCGCAGTATTGGTCATTTTTCTAACCAAACATATAGTAATTTTTTTCTTCACATTTGATATATATATTTTTACTATCATTATTGATAAAGTATATTAATGATATATCATTTATGTGATATATGTATCGTCAATGTTTGGGGGTTGAAAATTGTACTGCCACGTGGAGGACAGAAAAAATGTCCAACTTTGGAGGTCTTCCCTTTGGTGGCCAACCTGAAGTGGCTGACTTGAAGATATTCCTTTTGGTGGCCGACCTGAAGTGGCCGACCTAAAGAGCTCCACTAAGGGTCGACCTAAAGAGCTCTACTGAGGGCCGACCTGAAGGCTTTGCCTAATGGCCGACCTGAGGCCTTCCCTAAAGGCCGATCTGAAGGTCTTCCTGAAGATCATTCATGGGAGGAACGACCTTCCATACTTAGTCAAATTCCAGATGACAAGAGTATGAACTGGAATAGCTACTCCCGACAGGCCGACCTTGGTCCCGACATGCTCAACTGCTGGTCGGATTCCTTGTCGGGTACCTCAACCTATAAATAGAGCACTTCACTCTTCAGTCAGGTTTCGTATTCTAGCTCGGCCTCCATACTAAGGTCGGACTCAAAACTGACTTGAGCGTCAGAGTGTTTGTTCCCTTGTGCAGGTCTTTCCTCGCCAAGTGGCCTTTCAGCTCATTCTTGACACCAGCTCATCCCAGTCAGCCGACTTTGACCCTTTGAGCTGGTCATCCCTTTCCAAGGAAACCCAAGCTCTTCCCGCAGTCATACTTGAAAAGCAGGTCATGCTCTCCCGACGGTCATACTTGGAGTAGTTTGAGCTCTTCCCTGTGGCCGACCTTGACCAGGTCATACCCCGTCACATTTTTTGCATAAACAGTCAATATACATAATATATAAAATATATCATTAATATACCTAATTTAAAGTACTTTACCTGAGTTCTTACGTTTGTGTCATTTTTAAAAAATGTTGTATCAGTTGACAAATTTGCTATTATTTAGGCTGTATTTGCTAGCAAAACTCTTATTATTTTGTCGCCAAATTTATACAAATAATTAGGTTAAATTATAAGTTTTTTAGAGTTTGTATATTCGGTATTTGTACTTAAAATTTTTTTTAATAGCTTTCTTAACTTACAAGGTTATGTTTATTTAGTAAATCTTTAGACAGTTTTTAATAARTCTGTAAACTTTTAATTTTTTTTTGTGGTAAATGTATCATTGTTATTAATTTTGTTCTGATATAATACTTGTATGGCCTATTGACTGTTATATTTAAAAATTATGTGACAGTTGGTTATGATAGGTTTAGAGATTTGGCTGCTTAATCGTGAAACCAATAAAATTAATTTAATAATGACACAAGATTGAAAGTTCAATTACGTATTAGAAACTTTTTAAAGTACAACTTAGACTAGATGAGTATAAGGTTGAAAGTTTAGAGACTTATTTGAAACTTTTTAAAGTATACCTATGAAATAAACCGGATCAAATATTATGATTTAATTGCTTACTTTTATGTGATATGTTATCGGATAAAATCAACGAAGCAACATGGACACTGCTACAAGGCCACATAGGCTTGGGCTTGAGCTCAGGCTGATGAGAAGAGACCTGTGTCGTGCAATGAGCAGGTCAGTTCGATCCCTTCGTTGGAAAAAAAATTCATTCAATGAGACGATATCCACTGACATTATGCAATGATGATTCTACTATTAGAATATCTCCGGTGGAAGATCATATGGCTGATGGTGACGAGTACGAACTATGAGTATCCAATCATGCACCCCAAATATTCCTCCTATAGGAAGGAGAGTCAAACTCTTGTTAAATGTAGGGGTGTAATAGTTAAATAGACAGAGATAACAAAAACTTTAATATAGGATCGTAGGCTAAAGAACTATAATTTATTTCGAATTACCTAGATTCCAAATTCTTATAGCAATATCTGCGTTGTTTGGATCTTTCTCAACTATACAGCTTTAGATCAAATTGACAGTTTTATTAGAACAACATATTCTGACTACGAGGGATATTAATAACAACATGACAACAACGTCCAAAATTATTATTTTCTAAATTTGCAGGGACTAAAATAGATATTGTCAAAGTTCAATAACTAAGATGAAATATGCTTATAAATTCAATTATCAAAATAAATTTTAAGAGGCAAATTACGTTTTTTTGACTTGATGTTTGACCTTGATTTCTATCTGGTCTCTTAGATTTTGAAACTGATGCATGTGATCCTGAGGTTTAATGTCATACCTCAAAGACTAAAAAAAGGAAAGTGTTTGGTTTTGAAATATTAGGAGCTAAATAGAAATAAGTGGAACTTTAGGAACTAAAAGTGTAATTTGACCAAATTTAGGGCGTGGGAGTCATGGTGGAACTAAAAGTGGGAATCATATTTAGAAAAAAAACAAATTTAAGTATAATTAATTTTTTAAAATATTTTTTTAGTACATCAAATGGAGGGAAGATTTGAACTCAAAACTTATTGATCACAAACCAATTACCGTGCTACGCTCATGTTGGCTCAAATCACTATCTCAAAAGATATAATCTCGTTAATCTCCTACATATTTATCAATCTCAATCTTATCTCTTATTTTGTTTGCCACACACCTTTTCAATAATTAATTTACAACTTTTACTTAGGTTCTCTCATCTCTAATGAGACTGAGTTAATTGGTTTACCGTTTTATTTATTTAAACTATTAATAATTTTTCTTATAATAAAAATATATACAACTTTTTTTATATTAGTTGATGTAATTTTATTACGAAATATTACAAATTTCATTTAATTTATCAACCATTAAATTTTTCTTTACTTTTATTAATTAATATCAATAAAATTGAAATTCGAATTCATTATTATGAAATATTAGAATAATACTATCTTATATTAATGTTGTTGTTGTAATAAAGAATTATTTTAATTTTTTTAGTTAAAGTAATTTTATTTTAATTATTTATCATCGGTTAATAAATTGTTATAATAAAAACTATTTAYCATGCCAAGATAAATATAATTTAACTTATTAATGCATGTGAGTTCAAATTCATCCTAGACATATATATTTACTATAAAATAGTAATAAAATGATTTAAAATTTATTATTATTTTAATTTAAAATAATATTAACTTTCTCCAAAAAAAAATTATTAAAATATATTTTTCAATTAATGTATTTATAATTAATTAAAAATAAAAGAAGATAGACGAGTAATTATTCTATATCTAATCCTTATTTAGATTCAAGATACTTAGTAAATAAGTTTTTTTTTATTTCGATTTTAGAAAATTTATACTAAACAACATAAAAAAGAATTTCAATTCTTATTTATTTTTATTATGATTTCATCATTCTAATTTTAAATGGGCCTAAATTTGAAAAGGTTGCAACTAAACGCGATCTTTGCGGTTACCGCTCTCTAAATTAATTTCTTATTATTCTTTGAATGAATCAAATATCTGTTTATTAAATTGTTGGACTGTTATAATTCAATCTACAGTTTACCCAACCAGAGTTGGCTACTTAGCTTCCATTTGACTTTTTTTTTCCCTAAATTTATTAAACAATCTTTGGCTGCTGAATAACGAAAATTAGAACTTTTCTTTAATATAGTATTACAAATTAGGGAGTATATAATCAAACATTTAACCTATGAAGAATAATATTATTAAGGTGTTTTTTGTTTTGTTTTATTTATTTTTGTCGCTTTTTTAATTGAAAAAACAAAATTATATTTAGTAACGGTTTACTATTTATTTTTTTAAAAGAGGAGTAAGAAACATATTTGGTAAGTATTTTTTTTCCGATCTCTAAGATTCTAAATTAAAAAAATTAATTTTTAAAATTTTGTATGTTATATTTATCTTTTTAATATTTATTATACAWTTGATTGGTCAAGAATATCAAAATAATACTTTTATTTATGTTTTTGAAAAATTTAAAATAAGAGACGAGAAACTTGATTTTGTTGCTTCCAAAATTTCTATACATTGAATTTTGAAAACGTTTCTTAAAGATGAAAAATGAAAATAGAAACAATACTGCTTTTTTGATAATGATACTATTTCTTGTTTCTCGAGAAAACTTATGATGTGTTTGGTTCGCGATTTGAAAACAAGAGATTTAATGGAAAACAAAGTCGTACTTTTGTGTTTYCAGTGTTTTCAAATATGTATTTAGTAGCAAATTTGAAAATTGAATCTTAAATTAAAAAATTTTGTTATGAGTTATTAAGTAATATATTTGTAAAGCAACAAGAACTACAAATTAAATATTTAGTTAACTTTAAAATATGATTGATTAATTAATTAACATAGATGTTATAAAGTTTGTAGAATTATTATTTTACAATATTATATAATTTATAATATATAATTTTTACATATTTTAATTTTAACAAAAATAAAAAATAAAAAATAAAATAAATTTATAACATGAAATATTATATTTATCAAAGTTTTCTTTAATGTAATTCTGCATTTTAAAGTTTCAAATTTAAAATTTGATAACAAAAGTAGAAATGAGTGATTGAACTTTCGACCCCTAGGTAAGGAATCATTTGTTAATTTCAAATATAATTTTGAATTACATATACTATATCTTATGAAACTAAATTGCATTTTGCAAACTATAAACTCACCGATCAAAATATATTTTATACAAAATATTGTTTCTTTACATATGAACATACGTTATGAAAACTATATTATTTCTCAATTTTAGACTTCATAAACTTATTTCTCAATTTTAGACTTCATAAACTCAAGTTTATAAAAATCGTGAATCAAAATTCTTCTTCTTTTTTTTTGAAACACAAAATTATTTATCTATAAATAATGTTAGTGAAAAGTATTGATAATAGATAGACGTAAGACTATGATTAACTCAAATGTAATTAAAAAAAGTCATAGTTACGTTATATTTGGAAAAAAAAATCTATGATACTTTTTTTAGTACAAATCTATGATACTTTTAAAACGGATTTTTTTTAATAATGTTTTTAATTAAACTTATTTTTAAAATAATAGAAAAAATGGAAAAAATACAACTTTGGAAACTTATTCCAAGAATATTGCTGGTGTAAAAAAAAGGGAATTTGGTCGTCTCTGTTTTATCGCCTAGATACGACCATCTACCAGCGTCAAATTTTTTTTTAAACAGAAGTGTGGTCGTCTCTTTAAGAGATGACTATCTGATCGGTTTCATTTCTGAAAAAAAAAATATTTTGTTATATTATATATTATTTAGTAGTTTTAATATAAAAAACTTTTAACGGTCTAGTGGGTGTACTGTTATCCTATCAACCCTTCCATCCCAAGTTTAAATCTTGAGACACATGTTTATATCCGTAAAAATGTGCATAGTTTAATAGTAATTGATATATATCTTCTATCTATGACCAAACGATTTGGACCTGGAACCAATCACRTGTGGTAGTAATATAATTTTAGAAAATTGAAAATCACAAACTTCAACAACAAATGGAGAAGAAAAAAAAGGCTAAATTTGAAAGCGGTTTAGGAAGGAGAAGCCATCCGACGATTTATTTTGCTACATCAAAGCGGCAATCTCCCTACGCGACCCGGAGTATGTTTCTTCAGTCCCTTTCGGCGGCAAGGTAATTTAATTTCTCTGTTCTGTTCTATGCCTCACAATTGATATATTCTTCATCTCTTTCACAATTTAATCCAATTTTGCCGTTCCTCCGTTGATGATATGAATTCGTGAGAGCCCGAATCCAGGAGGGGCTTTAGAGACGGTGAATGGAGTGAGAAGCTGGTTTGAATTGGATTCGATATTCTAATGGTGGGTGCAAAAAATTATGAGAGTTTTGTCCTCTATAGTTAATCCACTTTCACTCGTTTTCTAACTAGAAAATTAGCAATTTCGTCATCGCGTTGCTTGATTGTTTGCAAGGTTCTTCTACCGATCCAACTGCAAATTACGTGGGTTCTTTTATTTTTTATTTTTTTTAATTTTGTTTAAATTGTATTTTGTTGTCCATGCAATTCAGGTTTTCCATTTGGGTGTTTGTACTTTCGAAATTTTCATTTGGGCAAAACGTACATTTTGGTTATTGTGTGTTCAAAACATTCATTTTACTATCTTTACTTTTCTACTTTAAAATGTCACTGGTACTTTTTTGAAAAGTGACTATTTTGGTCTTTTGTTTTTTTTTATCACTCAAACGCTACACCCAATGAGTTTCTTGAAATATTGTCGTAATTTTGATTTAAAAGACTTTAATTGCGTATAGAATGTGTTATAATTTTGGTCCTATTTTAAGAGTAGAAGGACTGAAAATGGACAAAAGCTGAAGTGCAGATCAAAACAGATTTTTTTTTTTTTTTGGTATGTGGGTTATGGATTAGGAACATGTCTTCTTCCATGTCAAGGTATAAATTTTCCATGTCAGGCCATTTTAGAAGGATTGCAGAAAAATGTTAAGGTGGATTTGAAAAAGTGAAGTGGAGCACTTTTTACTTTCTTTCTGTTGCAGTTTTCCCCACCAGCCAGTAGCCATAACAGTATTAGATGTGAGTATTTCTGTTGTTGATTTAACTTTACATCCTTTTTGCTGATTTCAGTTCCATCTTGTCTACTTATTGAGAGCATGAACTTTTTTTGGATTTAAAATGAGCTGCTCATTCACTTTGGACTGCGATAGCTCTACATGGTGATCTTAAACTTAAACCAATCAATACCGATGAGGTTAGAAGAGAATTAGGTGCTTTTTAAGAACAAATGAAGGTTATTCGGGCTATTTTGAAGATAACTCAACCGAAAATAACTTCAAAAGTTTCGTGATTTTATAAGGTCTTCTATATAAAAAGAATAAAATTGTGTCATTTATTTAAAAACTTGAATGAAACCTTTATTTACACCATTTCAAAACCACACGTAATTTACACAAGACTAGTGGTTCTCTTGTCTGTTCAGGATTTACTTTGTCTCTTTGAATTAGCATTTCTCAGCATGTTTTTGGTTATTTGAGGCCCTAGTTGTAGTTTTAAGCTGGGAACTTTGTCATTTCATGGAATATTGGAAGAGGCATCTTGATGGATTATCAATACTAAGAGAATTAGAAGTTTCTTGGCTTCTTCTTGGGGAACCAAAAGAGAAAGGAATGGTCCTTTTGCATATTAATCTGTGGCAGGGCATCCAACATCTTTTCCTCCATTGTCCTTTCATACTATCTATTTGGGCAAAGATTTTAGCTATCTTTGGCATAAGCTGGTGTTTTCCAAAGAAAATTGAGGAGGCCCTAATCCAACTTCAAATTGACCCCCTTGTTATGCCAGCTAAGCTTCTTTGGTTCAATGCTATCGTGGCAACCTTTTGGAGAACTTGGTTTAAGAGAAATCATAGGGTCTTCAAAGAGAATTCTAATCTTGATACCCTTTGGTTGGGACTCGGGCAGACTCTTTGCATCCATCTAGTGTTCTATTTCTAAATCTTTTTGTAATTATGATCCAGTTCAAAATATGGCCAATTGGGAGTCCTTTTCTTACCTTTTGGCTTGTGGCGATATCTCATCTCCCCTTTTTTTGATCTTGTTCATTAATACATACCTTGTTTCTTCTCAAAGGAANGAACGGAAAAAAAAAAAAAAATCTGTGGCAGGACATCCATCCTTCCTCATTGGAGTTGACAGTAAATCTTCATTCCTCAAAAGATTTACTTAGCTGCTTACTTTGGTGATATGTGAAGTGAAGGATCAATACATGGCAATATCCAATAAGAAAGTGCATTGCAAAAAAATTCAAAGTGGGGGATCTCTATAGGCTTTTTACCTTCAGTACTTCATTATGTCTTAATCTCTAACCTACAGAAAGGTCTTCTTCAGCTGCTGGCTACTGCAGTCTCTCCAAACCTTCCACTTTATGTTATGTGCCTTTGATTTTTATCTATCACAATCTGGCTTCTCTATGACAAGCAACAAGCAGCAATATTTAGGAAAAAAGTGTCGGTGTTGCACTGTTTTGTGATTTGTTTAATTGGTATTAAGTGCTGTATTCTGTTAGGATTTATGTAGACAGAAAATTGATCTATGTAATATTTGGTGCATACTGTATTTTGAGCTGCTTTGTGGCTGATGACTGTTGGATCTCGTGTTCGATAATGATGCATCGGACTTACATTTCTTCCCAACATAGATAATTAATCAGAGATTMAGTGGGAATTTTGAGTCGTGGGCTAGATTTGTATAGTGTAGAATTGGGAGCTGGAGCTGGTATATGGTGTCAAGTTTACTTATTCTAGATTACGAGTTTTCTGATTCTTCAAATATGGACTACATAAAACCAGTCTTTTGAACTCCATTACTGTCATTTCTAGGCTTTGCAGATTCCAGGTTCTCATAGCATTCAACCATCCATCAGGGTGGGGCCAGAAATTTTTAAAGGGAGCAGCGAAATTTCACTTTGGAGCTTTTTTTTTGTACAATCATTCACTCATCTAAGTTTAGGGGGTACAAGTTAGAGATAAAACTTTGAAATTTTTGTGTAGTTTTTTTCTAAACTAAGATGGACTGTTACCCCTTCGACCCTTTGTACGCTTCTTTGCTCGCTCTGTCCCTGCCATCCTTAACTTATATGATAAATGTTAGCCCCAGATTATTGGTATGAAAATTCCAGTGAATTGGGATTAGGAATATATGAACCCCTAATTCACAAATACTAAAACTCTCAGATCGATTCGATTTCAACCCTAAAGTGGGTTAGACCCAGATTACCTTGAGATCAAAGCTCTTGAAATAAAGAACCGGTTCCTTGGTTTAATAGTTGAACACTTCACAAGATAGGATGATGAATCCTACTTGGATGTTCTTGACATGCAATTCAAAGAAACAAATTGCAAAAGGTTCAAGCTCCCCACTAAACTAGAAAGGAAAAGCTCGATGGCTAATTCATTGTTAAAACTGATCTATTTGTAAAACAACCTAATGGCAAGATTCTAGTTAGCCTCCCAACTAATTCCGAACTGCCACATCATAAATCATATCAAAAAGAAAAACACATCCCTTCTTAATATGCTCTAAAAGGATAACAGTTAGAAAGCAATAAAATTTCATTAAAACTATTGAATAAAACATAGATAATAATTTGAAGTCCTACGAGGGCTCATATCAATTACTGTAAGGACAATATATCCTAACTAGCTATGGAATCCATTATTAAACTAACATGAATTGATCTAACATTTCTGTGTTTTATCCCTTTTTCAAGAGAAATTTTGCGGAAATTTGTATGATRCTATTAAAGTAAAAAATTTGTTAGCCACAATTTGACAAAAGTTAGCTAAGTTCATGTCAGTTAAAATGGATTCTAAAGTTGAGCTAGAATCTATCGTCGGCATGTTACACCCTAGGTGGTATGGGATAACTTGGGGCGGGTYGTGTCATTTGCCTATAGCACACCACATATCTTTATATCCTATATGAGGCCTATATGAGTTTTTATCAAAGAGCAGAGGAATCTATGCTCAAGTTACATCAGTCTTCTCTGATAGCAATACACCAGAAACACATGAAGTGCATTTTGTGTTTGGAAAGATAGATAAGAAGGTCCTTTCTTCTTGTCCAAAAACTCATTGGGTTACAAAAATCATATGCAAAATCAAGTTAGCTTTTCTTTCATGGCGGTGTTGAAAACATTGTAATTTATGCAGTATTCAGGATCAGTTTATAGCGGATTAACTGGAGGACGAGGTGAAAGATGCTGCTCGAAAGCGGTTCGAGTTACTTTCTCTCATGGCAACATTGACAACATAGAATCGAGTATCCATTCTCATTAGCTTCCAAGATGAAAGTTGATATGGTTTAACAATCTAGATCTTGATAATAATTTCATTTTGAAGCAGGTGGTCCATTTTCAAAATCTAAGTTAAATTTCGAAAAAAAAAAGTAGTTTTTGATATATATATATATTAATTTGATTTTGAATTCAAATATGTTTTTAAGAAATGTGAAACTATACTGAAACAATTGTAAATTGTAAAGAAGTAAGTATAATTTTTAAAACAAAATCGTTATCTAGGTCCTTCCAAGTTAGATATGAAGCATTAAATAAGATTATTCTCTTCTCTTCCTTTTTAGTTTCTAAATTTGGTATGAAATTTGTGAACACCATAATGCCATAACCAAACAATCATGTGCTTAGTTTAATGTTCTTAATTCTACCATAAATGTGGTGAGAATTTAAACGTTATCTTTCCTTTTCTTATTGAGTATTGTTATATGTAGTGAAATTCAATAAACTTTTCGTTTTCTTTTTCAAATATTTTATTATTGTTGTGTTATCCATATGTTTTATTCAAAATTAGAGATTCAAGTCAAATTTTTTGGTCCATTTTTTTCTTTTTTCTTTTTAGTTTATTCATCTTTTTCTTTTTTGATAAAAAGTTTATTCATCAATTAGTTGAGTTTCTTAGGGGATTAAAGAAAATGATTTTTTTTTTCAGTGCATTGATGTTTTGAGTAAAGAAACAGGAAAGTTCCTTTCTCTAAATCTCATGGTGTGAAGCGAGAGAGACTTCAAAACTTTTGGTGGCGGTAGAACTTATAAGTACAGTTGACATAAGTTTTCATTTAAGATTTAAATCTCTGTATCTTTGTATATCTTTTGTAGAAAAACAAGTCATTCAATAAATTGAATGTTGTAAATGAAGTTATTATGATAGTAATGCACTAAACCATTTTCAAGATTATGAATTTTGAAATATTTTCGATTACCTCCTATAATAGAAGTGGAACTTGAACCATTCTTTGGTGCCTACACGAAGAGGAACAAAATGAAGTTGCCTACTCTTGTAACATCTCATTTAGACGTTATCAACTCATTTTTCCATTTCTTAACAAATTTGCCTAAAAAATGGAAATGACCAATAAGTATATGCATTGTATGTGTGCGTTCATGTTAACATACACAATGACACATTCATACCTAAAATTTAATAAAAAAAAAAGTAAAAGTTAAAAGTTAAAAAGGAAAAAAGATGGAAGAAAATAAAAAACCAAGGAACAAAAGGCAAGTATCCTTGGAATATTTTGGCATTATAATTTTCACTAAATTTATTTCCATGATTCTCTAATAAATATAAAAAAAAAAGAACAAGAATAAATTTATACTTTAAAAATTTATTTTTTTCCCCCTCCCACTTTTATAGGGAAGAAAATACATTATAGATGATTAACCATATTTAGCATATTACAAACCTTATACTAGAGTTAAAAGTTAACTCTAGTTAGGAGAGGGTTTTTTGTTCTCCCATAAAAAAAGTGCATCATGGTT